AAACTTCATTTTTAGTGCGCATTGTGAGAATACTAATCCATTGGCACTCAAATAAAGATTTTTTAAATTTATTTCGCTGATGACCCCGCTTTTGACCGTCTCATATTTGGATTAGGAAAGAGTTAATAGACATAATCAGTCAGCTATACTGACACTAACGCGAATTGATTGTGAAAACACTAGTTTACGGGATATTATTGGATATTAGTTCACTCTCCAAAAGGCCACTATAATTAACCTCACTTTCTGCGAGTTGACTGCATAACATGAAGCATGGAAGCGTAATCTGATGAATTTGGCAGAAGAGAGATTAATTTAGCTAATCTCACTATTTTCATATCTTCACCTTTATAGTCTATCATTGCCATCGTTTCTTTATTAATGACCAGTTGAAGTGTATCACCGGAAGTTGCTCTCCCCATAAATCTTCATGAAAAAATCCTTTAATAGTGCCTGCTTAAAGATGTTCTGCAAGCTATGCTATGCTGCAAAAAACGTTTAAGATAAGAATTAGTAATGTTATTTCAATGGTCCTTACCAAATAATACGTAACCAAATGGCATAGATCGATGACTTATCCATATCAGACCTACGCCATCGTCAACTGATAGCCAAGTTTGACCTTGTGAATTCACTTAAATCTCCAGAAGAATGTTCACAATCGATAGGCTCTTCGCCTAATATTTTATTCAAATATTAGCATTTATATTCATTATAGACTTCAGTTTCGACCCCGCCCAGATTTCATCGAGCCATACGAGTCAAGTGGCAAAACGTTATCATTCAACACAGCCCGAATGCAGATGAATCAGAGAGCACATGAGATTTTCATGACAATATGGGCGTCTCTGAGTCGAACTTATATTTAACACTAGCCTCCATAATACAAGTACATATTTGTCTAGTAATGCTTGAGATTATCAGCAAATGTGTATTCTGATTTATATCCAGTAAAGGCATGATAGATATATTTAGGCACCGTATGCCCGCATTTCTCGATTTGGGGATTAGAGGTGCTTTATTTCTAGTTTATCACTTTTATTTTCAAAAATCAAATACTTAACTTTTTTGCCAATAACCTTCCTTAACTCCTCAGCTATTTTGAATTTTTGCTCTTATTTTGTGTTGGTTCCTAATTTCTTTCGGAAAGCTGGTTACTTATTTTTCGTTTATAAGTAGGTTTTTGAGGCTACTAGTATATATACCATCGTTACTCATTTTTTTATCAATCATTTTTTACTTGTATTCACAAATGCGCCTAGAATTACACCTATATCATTGTATGTCCATTTTACTTATCTTCAACTAACTTATTAAAGCTCTTAACATATATCTCTATTTGATTATCTTATATCTGTTAAATCAGATCTAATGCCTGAAGAGGATGTTGAGTCAGAGTCTCAAGACCTGGAAAACCTGGATACCGGCAGTATAGACGATAACGGTAGCCTTGATCACATCTCTTCAGAGGATATGGATGAGGCATGTCGTGCCGCCCCTACTCCAGGCGTCATCAACAGAGCAGCCGATGCTGCACGTATTCCACTTGCCAGGCTTTCCGACCATTCAAATTAGGAAGAAATCAGCTGATGCTTGAGATATATTTTCCTGTTGAAGATTTTACTGAGCTTCACTTCAGCCTCATCAATTGTCGTTTCCTAGTCCATAGACTGCCTTTAAGCTCTATTCTTTTATCACCTTTTATGGCATTCACTTCTGGAGATATCTAGATTACTTCCTGGTCATAATATTATCGTTGGCCTGGCATGAGACTCAATATTCAGGACCTTCGCAATGATGTTTCATATCAAATTAAGCCCGCTGAATTATTTAATAATCAGGGATTGTACTGATTTCTCATCCTTACTGTATATTTTCCTTCCAATCAATTTTTTGCTGGTCTAATAATTATGGATATTTGTGCTTATAATTTTGGCCTTACCTATTTCTGAACACGTGGTCATAAAAAATATCTCTTCATTTGGTTAACCTTCATTACCCCCTCGCATACTTCGATTTATTTTCCTCTAACTTTACCTCATAAATTCACCACCGTCCTTTGATAATCTTATTTGATATTCTTATCAAGCATTGAATATCTGGTGCACTTCTTTACTCTTTATTCTTTTAGCTGTCGAGTGAATCTGGTAAGAAGGGTTTTGTTTACACTATGTGTTATTAGTATTCATTTATGATTATCAGGAATCTAGCCTCTTAAAATACTCCACTTCTCACATAATGTTAGAGATTGGTAGCGAATTTACCCACATCGTTATAAAAAAAGTCCGTTGTGCTTCAACCACGTTTCACTCTCTCAGCACCTTAAGTAAAATTAGAGTCATTACTGTGCTGGTTCACAGGCAAACACGTGACCTGCAAAGCTTTGTTGAACTACAAACATGGCATTCTAATCAAAGCAGTAATACATATCAGAATGATACTATTAACGAACCCTGACTGATGTATCGAGTTTACCATGAAGCATTTAGTCATCCATTAATACTGAATTTCCCACTATATATGTGCATTCACTTTCGCTTGTTTTACCTTGAAATTTATGTTTAAGACATAACTTAACTGCGCTATTATCGTTAGGCTTACAAGGTAAACCTATATGCTTTTAAACGTGCATTTTATATATTGAGATTCCTCTGAGCTGCGGATGAGCATCACTTGTTAACTATCTACCAGCTTGGATGAGAAGTGCCTTTTAGGACATATGGCGAAGTGAATCTTAATTAAAAAATAAGGCCTTCTCTTCATTTTATCGTTGGTAGAAACTCTATCTATGATTCTTATATTTTTGTCGACCTTAATTTTCGGACAGTCGTTTCCCCCATGCATTGAACTCTGTGCGTGACCTTATGATGATCCAACTTCAGCACCTACCTGTAATGCATGATGTGCTAGAACGAGACGTGTTTCAGTATAGCCTGAGTCTTGTGCGTACTTGTCCGAAAATATCCTATCAGTGATCCAAGGACTCACTTGACCTACTGTTGCTATGACAAAGAAGTACGTTTTTGCCCTCCTTCAAATCTCAATATACCTAAAACGAACGCGTTTTGGACTCAAGCCAGTATGATGTTTACATTTGCAAAATATAATATTAGTTCGCCTCAGATGATCTCTAAGGTGGGAATTTTTATGTTACCTTCTAGTTAGAAAGCCTGATTAAGATTCATTCGAGATTGTGCCCCTGTAAATATCAAGAGAATTTGTGACCACATCAGCCGTTTGCACACTTATACGATCAACTTGAAAAATAAGATATGAAGACCAAGATGTTATGCCCTCTGGTATGGTCGCAGTCTCCTTTCGATTTATGGAAGTGGGTTAACCTCGTCACAACTTGGTCCTGTTGTAGGGGGGAGTTAATAGAACTCACCTAGTCCGAAGTCGTTTGCCATAGTAGTTGTCATAATTCCCTGAATCAGCAAGAGGACTTGGTACATTCTCAAACGTTCCGCCGGCATCATCAATGAGTGCTGCCATTCTCTGGTCGCATGTGGCATCTTAAGTGGATTTCTAGTACATTTTGTGCATAACACCGAATTTCGGTGACCGTTTGCTTATCCGTCCGCCCAGCTCCCTTACTACCAGACCCCTAAAGTTGTACTGGTTTATTCGAAATGGACATCACTCACTGACAACGACTTTGCTTTATTGCCGAAAACCCCTGCCCCCACTTTCTTAATCGCGATCCCTTTACCTCTGGTTAGCGGTAGATCCTTGATCAAGACGTCTCCTTTTCGCTGGTCTTGCTCTATTCTTGTTTTCCCCGAGTTTGCTGAGGCATTAGGCAAAGTTATCGCTAAATCTACCTACTGTTCATTAGATTTTTCTTCCTAAAGATTTCAATAATCTCACTATTCTTTCGCTTCCTTGTGTTGCCACCATATGGGGCTCTTCTTTCTGTTGCCTTCCAATTAATCTCGTGTCCAGTCTGTGCGATGTGTTCCGCTAGTTCTCATCTTTCGGTACCAATTTTCCTGCAGAGCCTCTGATATTCCTTGATTCATGGTATGGTCGCAGACAACGAGGTTAACCCACTTCTATGAAGCGAAAGGAGACTCTAGAGTATGACCGACAAGAAATCACGTAGGATTTCTGACTTAATAATAAAAGGGCATGAAGATAAATTGCGTAAGTTTTGGGTTATAAGACAGCCTAAGTTAAAGCCAGTGCGTCCGGTTAAATTGGCCTCCGAGGTGACAACACCTACTGATCAGCACGATTATAGGAAGAAAGTATTAAACTTAACATCAATTTTTCAATTCAACATCAAAGAAGCCTTCTAA